ACAATTCTTTGCCAAGGAATTCACAAAGAAGACAAAGGTCAGCATCAAGGAGACGGACACTAAATCATGGGCTAAGTTGAGAATTGAGGCGGAGAAGACCAAGAAGGCCTTGAGTGCAAGCTCGGGTGCACAACAGTGCAGTGTAGAGAGCCTGGCCGAAGGCCTGGATTTCAGTGGCAGCATCAATCGAGTCAGGCTCGACATGCTCTCTGGCAAAGTGTACGACGAGGTGATCCAAACACTCAAGGCTGCATTGGAGAACGCCAAGCTGGACGCCAGTCAGGTCGACGAGGTGATCTTGGCGGGAGGCACATCTAGATTGCCGGGCTTGGTGGAACGGCTCTCCTTCATTTTCCCCGAGGAAGGTGGAGCTAGCATCACTCACGGCATCGACTCTTCAGAGGTGCTCGCTAGAGGATCAGCCTTGCAAGCTCAGGTCATTGCTGCCGTGCCGGCTTCTTCTGCAGAGAGGAAGCACATTGAGAGCCTCCCTTCTGCTCCGCCTGGCGAGGTATCAGAGTTGAAAGTCAGATCGACGAGCAAAGCTTTCGGGCTCGTGCTACCTGCGGCGACCGAGGAAGCCAAGAAGCTGGCTTCTACAGATGGCAAGCTGTTCGTCACCTTGCTGCCGCAACATACTCCACTGCCTGCTAGGCGAAGCTTCCTTCTCCCAGGCCCACAGGCAGCAACCGCAGCTCTTCTGTCGTTCCACGAGGGAACTGCAGAGGTCAAAGTGGAGACTGTAGCTCCCCCTGCGCCAGACCCCGAGGATGAAGATGACGAGCCTGAAGAGCCAGAAGAGGTTCGTACGGCCATGGTCAAGCCCGACTCGAAGGCGCTGGCGGAGCTTGCCGTGACCGTATCCAAGGGAAAGAACGTGCTGGTCAACGTGGTTGCCAACGCCGACGGTAGCGTGGACATTCAAGCTGGCGAGGAAAGTGCAGAGATCACGGCAAAGATCTCTCTGCCCGCCTCGAAGTGAACATGCAGAGTACGAGCAATAGACACTTTCTCACTTACTGAGCTCATGCGACCGCGATAATGCATAGATCATGGTTTCGCTTGACCCCATGCGCTCACGAGCATTCATCGTCAAGCCAGAACGTCAATGGCGCTCGACACGAAGCACACACACTTCTTCCGGGCTGACCCGCGTGAGAGTATCGCATGATCATGAATTGCGTTTTGTGAAGCACGCCAGAAGACAGCTTG